CACAGTTACTCGAAACAGCCATTCTACTGCTAAACGAAGTTTTCACAAGGTTGGATTTTTAAGGGCGGAAACCAATGGTCTTGAATCCACTCATTTTTTTTCATTAGCATATTGCACTCTTTAAACAGAAATGGAAAGATTTCGCCTTCTCACTCAGAATGAACACGACATTTAAAATTTAAATGGCCGTTCAGTGTAAGCAAAAACTCTTTTTCCCTCTCTTTCATTTCTCTTAAAATGCATTAGCTATATATTTATTTTCATTTGTTCATTTATGTCAATCTTCTAGAGTGAAGTGGCGACAAGTATTAAGTATGTTGAATTAAGAGGAGAGTGTTTTTTCAGATGACTATTTAAAGTTATGTGATTTCTGACAGTGCTAAGTAATCATTGGTTACGATTCAAAGTCATCATTTAAATAAAGGGCAAAAGTGTGGTTATTCTGTAAACTCGAAGGGGACGTCACCCAAGTGGAGGTCACCCAAGGTCTGAATATTCTTCAAAAAGTTATACCCAGGATTTGGAGCTACCTTTCAAACACTGAGTTCATTAGTAGATAGCCTGGTTAAGGGCTGACAAGAATAACAACTGCATTCGAAGGCAGTTTTCTATCACTGTCGCCTCGAAGAAACTATAAAACGACAACACAAAAGTTTTTTAGACCTTCTAGCTGCCACAGTTACTCGAAACAGCCATTCTACTGATAAACGAAGTTTTCACAAGGTTGGATTTTTAAGGGCGGAAACCAATGGTCTTGAATCCACTCATTTCATCTTTCAAAAGAATCCATCTAAATTCATATCGTTGTCATATTCAAAGGAGCTAAGAGGAATGGGACTATATAGTGTTTACTGGCAATCCCAGATGTTGGCTAAAATGCGATTCTAGGCATGTTTTGACCTGAAAGAAGCGAGGAATACTTGCCTTCCCCTTTTCATGAAAGGTCCTATTTCCACAGAAGCGGTATCATGTTTTGGGGTAAAATGAGCAAAGATGTTTGCACCGAGCTGTGGATCTTTGATTTAAGTTCTATAAGTTAATAGATATATGGACGATGTCTTGGAACCCCACGGAAGACTCGTTAGTGATGCTGCTGACCAAGAGAATTTGGTAATGGAAAGCAATGATCGTCTGCATTGAGCATCTACGGTGTCAAAGCACTTAGAAACAGAACATATCACATGAACGGATTGATCAACTTACTAGACTTGAGCACTACTGAATTGAGAGGGATACATATATTTTGAATATATACATATATTACATACATTTTGAAGCATGCCATGTGCCTTCTTGGCCCTTGCATGGTCTGAAAAGAGAGCTTTCAGAAGAACAATGTGCAATTCCAAAAGACTTTATCAATAGTTTTCTACATTCTCTAAAGTCAAATTTGAAGTCTGCAATTTTGTCAGAGATGAACATCATATTAATGAACCAAAACATTGTAACCAAAACAGGCAGATCATTACTCGATAATTTCTAAATTTTCCATATCGAATGTCGAGCATGTAATTTATGTTAAATAATTCTTTTGTATAAATCGTTTATAATTTGTTTTCATCAACAGTTAACTTTTACTTTTGTGTTATTATATCAGTATTATTTAAGTTTGGTGACCGGTGTATATATCACGTAACGTAATAATAAAAAGTAAAATATTACGTAATAATAAAAAGTAAAATATCACGTAATAATAAAATGTAAAATATTACGTAATGATGAAAAGTAAAATACTCTTACCTAATAATAAAAAGCAAAATATTAATTGTATGAATAAAATTTAAATAAAATTTAATATTACCTTACGTAATAATAAAAAGTAAAATATTAATTAAATAATTAATTAAATTTAAAAAAAACTAAATTTTGTCAGATATCTAGGCGTTTAGAAATTTATTTGACGTAATAGAAATAAATAAAGGATTTTTAGAAAGTCTGATGATAGAATCAAGTACTTAAGATAATTATTATACCCACTTTTATTAAAACTGATATCAGACGACATTTGCTTAAAAAATAATCGTCAAAGAAAGATGAAAATAGAATTTAATATTCGCTAACTCACTGACTTTCAAAAATACAAAGCGGAAGCCAGGGAAACATAAAATTTATTATCACAAATAGATAAAATAATTTTAATTCCTTTAGATCCTCTAAAGCAAGTTTGTAGCAGTTTTGACAAAAATAAATATACTTAAAATTATATAACTGCAGGGTTTTCTGCAAGTTTAAATCACAACTGCATATTTTGACATAGCTTACATGGAACTGTGAAATGATGATGAAGATAATGCAATTTGAAACGTGAAGGAAGGGGTTTCAAATGTTTAAACTGTCACTTCACAAAAGCACGTCACAAAACAATTTATGTTAAACTTAAGAAATCAGATATAAAAAAGGAATCTGAGTTCCTCAGTTAAAAAGAGAGGTTCCGGAAAACTTAGCAATATTTTCGAATGTGATTTATGGAAATAAGAACAACAAAAACGCAAACTCAATCTTGCCAACGTGCAAAACCATAGTTTAAAGTCCTTTTTAATAGGAATATGTTCCACAGCCCTTCTTGAAAATCATTTATCATTTTTTCACTAACCATATTAGTTTGTATCTAGTTATGTTTGAGCACCAAACAAAGCGTGCGAATCTTTACCAATCAGAATGGGTTTCTATTTTATTGACAATTTTGCGAAGTGAGATAGTTTAGCTGATTATGCGAGAACCAGAGCAGCAGACTTATGACTACGCTTACGTAAAAGGGCTACTGCTTAAAAGGTTTAAGCTTAGTCCAGAAAAATTTTGCATCAAATTTGTGCAATCCCAGAAAGACACTCAAACCACTTGGAGAAATTTTGCTTATGAAGTAAGAAATTATTTTGAAGAATGGATTGCAGGTCTGGAAATTAAAGATTTTGAACTTTTAAAAGATCTTATGGTAACGTACCAAATGAAGCGTCGTGTAAATTTCCAAGTCTGTCAACATTTTATTGACGAATTTTCGAAGATAACGTCCCCAAATAAATTTGCAGAATTATTAGAAGAGTAGGAAAACGTACGTGAACACCGGAAGATCTCCCCAGTTCATAGTTCGAAGTCACAAAAGGTCAATAAAAATCATTCAAATTCAAGGGATTCGCAAAAGATCATCAGTCTGGAAGGAAAGCTAGATATGCCTCCGGAAAAAAAAAAAAAAAAAAAAAAATGAAATCAGAATGAACGTCAGTTTGTTGTACGTACTGCTGAAAACGCTCATTCGCAGAAATAAATGTTTAAAAATGCTAAGTACAGTTGCAGTGCTTGCTCTGCTTTACTGCGATAAACTTTGAGATAGTTTAACCAAAATAATAGTTTATCCCTCTTCCAAAATCATATTTAGCAGCAGAATAATTTTTAATTTCCAAATCTTGCTCTTGTAGTGTTTCTAGCAGCACACCTCTGTCAATGTTAAAAGGCTCCGTCGCTAATCTAGATCAGTTCCTTAGGGAAGTAATATTTGCATTCATCAGTGAGGTACTGCAAATTATTTTATATTTTATTCTTAGTAGGAGAATCCTTGAAAACCTCCCTAAAACGAGTTTCTTCTAGGATTCCAAATAATTTAGGAAAGCAGGAATAATTGCAGGCTAAAACTTTATGTTCCCAGAGTTGCAACTTATGAGTATACGCTGTGAAGCATATACTGGCTGGGCAGTTGCTCTGCCCCCCCCCACATCACAGAAGGGCCCCCAAATCGAATAGAAAGTTTGTTATTATAAAAATTTAAATCTCTCCAAAAGGTTCGCTTTTTCATTACTGAAGTAGTGAAGCAGAGGGGGCTCCCAAAAAAGTTTTTGCGCTGGGCTCCAGTTAGGCTAAGTCGGGCTCTGCTTGTAGTTTCAAGTTCAATGAGTCTAATGAATCGAAAATATCTGATAGAAAAATCAATACAACTTGAACACTTCGCTTTCGGAATTCCATATACTGTTTGATTTTGAATTTCCGAAACTGAATCACTTCATCTTTCAAATAATCTTGCAAACATATTTCCTTTAGAAGGCCCGCGTATTTGTGTATGAATTAACAGTGTTTTATGTTCCCAAATCTTCACAAAAGGCCATAAAAAGTCGAATATTTAAAGCATTTTTTTAACATGACTGATAATTTGGGTACATAATTTTAAGACATCATTGAGTTCGTTTGGAACTGTTTCAGTTGCCAAGGCTTCATGGTGAATAGCAGTAAGATTGGGATATTTTTCTTTGACAATTTGTATGAATCGTGAACGAGATCCAAGCACTGACAGAGTGTCGTCTGTGCATACTCCTGTCAGTTTTCCCATGACATTTCATATTTGCAAAAGAATTCGGAGATTGTTACCATTATATGAATTGCTTTTGAAGTAATCGTTAAGTCTGTAGAAAACAGCATTTCGTCTTTAATTGCTTCATTTTTGCATTTTCGATCGAAAAATAACAGCTAACATTATTTTGCAACGTCTGTACTCTCGTCCAACGTAATGAATCTTGGTACATGTGAAATAATAAAAACACGAAAAACTGAAAACTGATTGTTCAACTCGGATGTATCTACTACAAGCACATTAAGAAATTCCATGAGAAACTGATAACAAATGTATTAATGCATATGATTATGTCATAAATGATGAAAGCAATGTTAATCTTTCAGGGGAAATTCTGAATATTAATATAACTTAACGGGTGGAAGTATTAGTTCTCTACTTGCCTTCTGCTAAAGTTTGTTTTGCTATGTAGATATTTTTGCTACTTAGATATTTGTGTCTTGTGAAATCGCTTTAGGACTTTTAAAAGGGTTTTAATCGAAGAACATTCTGTGAACTGATCAAATCACTGATCACTTTCTCATTAGTCATTCCATTGAGACTTCAGTCACGTTTGACAAAACGTAGGGAGTTTAGGGAAAATTGAAAGTATTATCGGGAAAAAGTTAGTTAAATTATCTGGCAACAGTGTTTTACTTTTGGTTCTTTTAGTTACTTCCGAGACGTGGCCGGTAACATAGAGAATAATGGCACACGGTGCGAAGGAAAACATGCGAGCTCCGCAACATAATTCATTATGGCATAATTTAGGAGGTTATAGTTTATTGAAATTTACAATTTTAGTCTTAGCCTATATCTTAGGATTCAGCACGAGACTGTTTGCAGTAATTCGTTTTGAATCTATCATACATGAATTTGATCCATGGTAAGCTGCATATTTTATAGCAGGCGTGTTCTTTCAAACGTTAATTGTTTGTGCCGGTTCTTTCTTCTTCTTAAATTAGACAATCTGAGCGATTGTTAATGTTATATCCCCTGAAATAGCAATCTAATCTATACATATTCAACGTTTTCTTTGTGTAATTCAGAAAATTATATATTCAAATTATAACGAAAAGTTTATTTTGGTGTAATCAAGCATTCTATTAGTATCTAAGCAATCATTATTATTAAGTGTTTCATATGTTAAAATTTCTGCATGTAATTATTTATTTTCGTTCAAGCGAGCTTTTGTCGCTAAATAATTTTATATTGATCGGTATATTGTTTGTTCTAAGAAACCAAAAATATTTGCGTTTTTTGAATTGGTGTCAGTTACTCAGCAACAAGCTTAAAAAAGGGGGGAGCGATAAATATTGTAAAATAGTAGCTGCTTAATTTCAGTTGTATTTGTAAAAACTTCTGAAAATTCAGTTCATGATACATGATCAGCTTTCAGTAAAGTTTATAAAGACTCTGTAATTAAAATATGCTGTGATATGAATCATATACGAATAAACCAAGTGAATTTATGGTTGGTTAATGCTTTTTTCAGCCTAAGGGAAGTCCTACCTGAAAGATTCTGTATTGTTTTCCTTTGATAATAACTTATATGTGCAAGCATGCATGTAATGTATTAATATATGAAATGTAAGAAGATGCTTTCAATAATTCCAGTGAGCTAAAGATTAACTGAAAATTATGAAACTTACCAGTCATCTTATATTTATACATGTGTGGTAGAAGCAATTTTTTGAAGAAATTTGCCTGATAGCTTCCGTTTGTTTCTCTAGGGTGAATGTATTCTGCATAAGAAATTTTAAAGCAATGGTTTTTCATGTTTTATTTAGAGAAATGATGAAAAGTGGAATGTGTTTTAGTCCACTACATGGTAAATAAATTTTTGCTAAGCTTGTCATTGATGAGCATGGAGGAATGGAACAAAAGTCTTAGGAGAGGAAAATATCATTGTGCCAAGAAATGAGCTACAGCGCCTTTTTCACAGTAGCCAATAACATTTGTATCATAATTAAAGGGCATGAATGAAATTACTTATAATTTTTTATATCCTATTTACAGGGTAATAATTTTTATTGGATCAATTGTTTTTCTGTTTATCATCGTAAGTAAGCATTCAGTATATTCTCAACCACGTTGAATAAATCAAACACATTGTGCCTCAGTATCTCAAGATTTACAGTGTGTCTGTTCTTATAAAATGGTTGCATTAAAGAAGCTTCACATGTGAAAAACATCAACTGTAAGTTCCGAAGGAGAAAAACTGATCAAAGTTAAAAAAAGTGGGAACACCTTTTTTTCTTCCTGATTTTAAGAGCCAAACAAAGAGGCACAATCAGGCAGAAAAAATTAGCTGGAATGTTAAGTCCTAATAAGTTTGAACAATGTGAGGAATATAGTATATGCTATACCAACAACATTTTGAGATAAAATGCTAAAAAAGCTCAAACTGAAATTTTGGCTTTATTAAAAGAAAATTTCATTGTTCTTTAGCCTCTTTCTCATTGCTGTGTTTTCTATTTTTGATAACCGAAAAATTTTTACGAGTGCTATTTTAAAAAAATCTGCTGTTATTTATTGCCAGTGTAAATACACTCATGTTATGAAATATAAACAGCCATCTGCAAAATGAATTTAAGTTGGAACATATGATGGCTAATCTTTGGAATATGGTAACAGGTAGTTTAACGACATTTTGGTAAGGCGATAAAGGTTATTAGCTAGGACTTTAGCAGTGTACATGGATAAAGTCAAGAGTGTGCACAATGCCATTTTTGTGCGATTCTGGGATTTTTTAAAGTAAAAATAGGTCGACGTGTACATGGATGATACTGCGTATGTGCAATTCTTAAAAAATGCAGTAAGCAGTTTGCGATTCTGCACTTTCTCCCAATTTCGCAACTAATCTTCGTCATGATTAAGCACTTTTGTTCCATAAAAGTTCTAGCATAAGTGTAATTCGGCTAGCAAATTGTTGGAAAAAAATGCTGAGTTAAAAAAAAAAAAAATGCCTTTACTTCGTGAAAACAAAATGGCATCCAAACAAAAACTAGCAGGTTGCTGTAGCAGGGTTGGTCGCCGAAAAATCGCCAAGGTACCATAATTCAAACATTAACCCATATGATGTCTGAAAAGTTCTATAGACAAATAAATGCTTGACACATGGCACAAAATTTTTAAATTAATTGACCATAGAAATGTAAAATTGTTATTAAAAAGCAATGGAATATGCACCCAAAGGTAAAAATTTGTTTAAAGCAAAAACTTTCTCTAGATTCATGATCTTTGTTGATTATAAAAGAAGAATGCTGGCACAGGAAAACCTAAATAATAAAATAAATTCACTTCTTCAATCGATGTATGCAATAAATATTCTGTATTTTTATTAAAAAGGTATCTTGTATTTATCTATGGAAAAAATTCCATTAAATTTGCCATGCTGAATTTTCTGAAGATCAAAATAACGTTTATTTATATTATAAATTAAATACATATTGCAGGTGTGTATACGCAGTCTAAAATTGTGGGAATGCTACTGTATCATTAAAACTGATTTTGGTATGAATTAAATTTTAACTTATTCAAAACACCTTTTAATAATTTTTTGTTTTGTTTTGTTCTAGGTTCAATTATAGAGCTACACATTATATGGTAAAACATGGCTTTTATAATTTCCTAAATTGGTTTGACGATAGAGCATGGTACCCTTTAGGACGCATTGTAGGCGGAACAGTAAGTTATTTTATCTTTATAACAATTTGTCAAACATTTTTTCTTCATTAAACTATTATATTTGTAATAAGAAAAATCCACTGCGTGCAAGGGGCCAAATATACAAGCTTACAAATTTGGTAATGGTACTCTGTTTTGGTTCTTGTGCCCCCCCCCATTGGTTGAATAGCTAAAAACCATGAAACATTAGTACTTTCTCCTAGCATTTATGACTATTGCTTGTGCAGGCTGGCTCTGTGAGGCTTTAGTGGCTTCTTCCATATGTGAAATAAGAGCTAGCCAGTTTTTTCTTAAAAAACTTCAGTGAATGCTTCTGTGTTTTTATCATATCAAATGATCCATTTAATTCTAATCAGTGGAATGTGTTGTCCGCATGGCTATTTTAATAGTTTTGCAGATAAAAGTATATTTACCCTTACCCCTTGGCAAAAATTGACGCTTTTTCACGGTACATGGATACCGAGTTGGTGTAATTCTTTGAATTGTTATTTTGGCTTTGTAGCAGCGATTTTAGCGCTAAAATTCTACACAAGCCAAAATAACAAGTCAAAGAATTGCACAAACTGTATCCATGTACTGCCGAAAACATCGCGGTTGATCTTTACAATATGGTAACTGGTAGTTTGGCGACATTTTGGAGGCGATAAAGGTTACTACCTGGCACTTTGGTAATAATGTGAGCAGTACTCAGTTCTGATTGCGCATTATTTTGTGTGAGGGAAATGAGAGATCATGGGATATGTCATGTGATATTAATGGACGAATTACGGTTCTTTAATCGGAAAAGGGGGGAAGTCGGGAAAAAATCTGGAAATTTTGTATTTGGCTTTATTCTGTGTTGTGTGAAACAGTGTTCGTGAATTTTTGGATCCCATGGCCGTAAACTAAAGTGAATTCGAAATGGGTATTTATGTATGTATTAATTTAATGTATGTGCTCATTATATTTTAAGTAGTGTTTTGAATTTAATTATATTTTAATTAAATGATAGTTATTTTGTGAATTTTATGTTTGTAGGAATTTGGTATACGTTTTAGTTGAAGTAAACGTGCATGGAAATAATTTAAATATCTGACAATAAGTATTTGTAATGGTTGCGGTATGAATTCGTTGGTGACGTGTATAATGTAATAGATGATTTAGAGGTAAAAGTTTTGGATATTTTATTTATTTTATATGTGGAAATGTTCATATTTGGAAAGGGTAAATACTTTTACGCGATCAGGTAATTTCATATATGTTCTTTTACCGGGTTAAAGATTGAGAAAATTTGTCATGTATTTTTGTTTTTTTTTCGTGAAATTTTTCTAATTTATGAGAAAAAAGCAGTGTACATGGATATAGTGAAGAGTGTGCGCAATGCCATTTTTGTGCAATTCTGGGATGTTTTTTTTAAGTAAAATAAGTCGGCGTGTACAAGGTTTTGTGTATGTGTTAATTTTGAAAAACGCGTAAGGAGTATGGTATTTTCCCCAATTTTGCAGTGAATATTTGTCATGATTAAGCAGTTTTGTTAGATAAAATTTCTATGGCGGCGGGGAAAAAAAATAGAGGGTTGCCATAGGAGAGTTCGTTGCCAAATTTTCGCCAAAAAATTGCCAAGTTACCATAATGTAAAGATCAACCAACATCGCCAAATTTCGCCAAGGGGTACCTGTAAATATACTTTAACCAACAGTTTTTATTTCTTCAATATGGATGACACACAGAATTTCTTAACAGCATCCAAAATCTATTTAAAATATCTAAACTAGAATCTGTATACTGCCATCACCACATTAATTCACAAAATTAAAAAAGAAAAGTATCCCTGAGACTGTCGGTAGCATTTCTTTCGAAAATCCCTTTTTATTACATCCCATTATACCTTCCATACTGTTGATATGAGCTCTGGTTTCAAAATCCTTAAGTCTCACTGCATAATTTACTGACAGGTAAACGAAGCCATTTAAATCTTCATTTACACACCAGTCATACAATGTTTTCTTTCCCAATCATTCCAAAATATTCAGAAACTTCAGGTTAATTATACCACTAGCTGGCATTTTACATTGTAAAGCAGAAAATAAGTAACTAACCAACATCCATACCTAAGTAAGGCCTTACAAATATTGGTACTATTCCGTTTTGAGGACTGTAAAATATTGCAGCGAAAATGTTTGCGCAAAAGCGCCAAATCTAGCAAACGCGCCCATTTAAACAGCGCCAAATCTAGCGCACATGCTGATTTCAATTGCGTAAGTTTAGATAGTTCTATATTTCTTAAGATGCCATTGAAATACTAGTTTAATTTTTAAATTCTCTTTTGATATCCTATGGATTTAACAACTTGGGAATTGTTTTAAGAATTGCACATACTCTGTATCCATGTACACATCGACCTATTTTCACTTTAAAAAAAAATCCCAGAATTGCACAAAATGGCACTGCGCACACCCTTGACTTTTTTATCTATGTACGCATCGACTTATTTTCACTCTAAAAATTAAAAGAAAAGTGACAAAATTCCAATTGTTTTTAACCCTTGTAAAAAGCGCCAAACAAATAAGTGGGCGATGCTGCACTTTGTCAACGAAAAAGCATTCATTATAGAAAATTATCTTTGAACAACCAACGAGATGAAATTATGCTTTAGCGATAACTCGGTAGCGAAATAGTGATGCAGGAATCCATTCAGTTATGTTTAGCTTTTTTTTATATAAATTAGAATAATGATCTGAAATAGTTTACTCTTATGCTTCCATTCAGTAATGTTTAGCCTTTTTTATATAAATTATAATAATAAAAAAGTATTATATGAAATTAATCTTTCATCTAAATTAAAACAATAATCCTTAGATAGTTATTTACTATTAAACTTCCTTTCTTGCGTTAGGGTTGCCGCAATTATTTTTGGCAGCACTGACATCAAAAATAGTTTGGTGAATTTTGACGGTCCTCAAAACCGAATAGTACCCAAATATTTTCCCATTAGTCAAAATGGCTAATCTTTGGAATATGGTAACAGGTAGTTTGGCGACATTTTGGTAAGGCGATAAAGGTTACTAGCTAGAACTTTAGCAGTGTACATGGATATAGTCAAGAGTGTGCGCAATGCCATTTTTGTGCAATTCTGGGATGTTTTTTTAAGTGAAAATAGGTCGACGTGTACATGGATGATACCGTGTATGTGCAATTTGTAAAAACGCAGCAAGCAGTGGGCGATTCTGCACTTTGTCCTAATTTCGCTCCTAATCTTCGTCATGATTAAGCACTTTTGTTCCATAAAAGTTCTAGCATAAGCGTAATTCGGCTAGCAGGTTGTTCGGAAAAAATGTTGAGTAAAAAAAAAAAAGCCCTTACTTTGTGAAAACAAAATGGCGTCCAAACAAAAACTAGCAGTTTGCTGTAGCAGGGTTGGCCGCCAAATTTTCGTCAAAAAATCGCCAAGTTACCATAATCTAAAGATTAAATGTCAAAATCACCGCAATCATGCATTACAACCAATTACGTCATAGCAGGGTTTCCATAACATTCAACTACCCAGGTTTCCATAAATGAAACAACTTGGCGATAAAACAAAGGGTACCCTAAAATATAGATTAACTCACATTTGGCTTGCGACATCCGAAAACCTTCATATTCACAGCTATAATCTTCATCAACCATGAAATATGGTAGATGGCCATAAATTATAGCAAACGTTTTTAAAAGTATCTGGAGACACATCCTTCTACGATCTTGCGATGCTTTACACAGCAGATTTTATGCTAAAATATTAAAAAAATTCTTGCCATTATTCAAGAAATTTAACACTAATTTAAAAATGCTACTTAATATTTGCCTTTCAGCTCGTGCAGTATTCTGATATCCACAGGTTGAATGATGAGGGTGCGGTTTGGTGCAAAGTAAGATATGGATACATTATCTTTCACTAAAATCTTAATTGAAGTACAAGCTAAACAGTCTTCTACAATTGCGTCATCAGGTAAGCCAAACGAATTCAAATTTTGCTGAGCCACGGGTATGAAAGGATTTTTAAACCAATCATTCATTAACACTTGTGTCATCCATGCTGTTGTATTGGCACACTGTATAACAGGGAAAATCTTTACTCCTTCAAATGCTCATGGTCATGTATTTTTTGTGATTATAATAAGTTTACACTTGGGTGCTTCTGCAGTATTTGCACATGCCAAAATTGTTAGTCACGCTTTAGAATATTTGACACTAGTTAGAATCTTTTCTGTAGAGGTCAACAAGGTATTTCGTGGTATGTATTTTAGGAAAGACCAGTTTTATCAGTGCTGTAAATTTGTTCTGGAGATAACTTTCACTGTTAATGAGTTCATCTGCATATAGTTCATCACCTTCAGTATCAGCTGAAACTTTTTCACCTGAAATTTTTAATTGCCTTATAGCATGGCGATTTTAAAATTTGGTTATCCAACCTGTCGAATATGTGCACTAAGTTTTTAAGTTCACTTCTTCGTGAAGTATTTTGCCTTGAGCCATTAGCATTGGAACCGTCAATGGCACGCCTTCATAGCAACGCTGTCTGACCCATTCAATCATCACTTTCAGCATAACACATAATTTTTCTGTTATTTATTGCGAGAGGAGTGTCAGAATCCACAAAAAATTCAGAAAGTTACTTTTTTCTGTTATGCCATATTCTTTCCAATGCCATACGCGTTGCACAATTTTGAGATGGATATACCTTTATCAATTTTTTCCAGCAATTCCACTTTTTGTTTAATGGAGATCAAGACATGCTTTTGCTTTGTAGGTCCTGTTGCAACTCCAGCAATAGAAACTCTTTTTAACATAATCAAAAGTTAAAACTTTAATTTTCATGAAACTGGCTATAATAGTAACAGCATGCAAAAAATAATAAGCTGGATCAAATCAGAAAGTTTAAGAACAGCACAATCTGCTATATGAAATTCCTTAAAATCAGTAAAGTATGACTTTAGCCTAGCTTAATAGCGTCCGGTATACATTATTGGTTATGTATCATGAGATTTGCGATGAATGACAAGTTGTTCCGCTAAATTTTGTCTTGCTTCCTATCGCACACTGAAACAATTAAGTCTGAATTGTATTAATTGAGTTATTTGTTATACTTATGTCTATTTCTTGCACATGTTTTAAGGCTGAATCTTGAATAAATAAATTTCCCCATATACTTAAGGCTTATCAAGGGCCGGTGCTAGATATCTTACTGCCAGCCTCTGCAGGTCCTAAATTCTTCTACCACGTGCCTCCCTAAGTTCTGAATTTTTGCCACCTGTAAATTTTGAGCCCCAGTGCTTTCCCTTAATTCTAAAAATTTTGTTACTTGGTGTTTCTCTAAATTAAAAAAAAAAAGTTGTCTTCTTTAAATTCTGCTGCCCAGAGCGACCATACCAGCTGTGGTGCTACTTCTGGGTGTATGTGAATAACAAATAAGTTATTCTTAATTAAAAAATAGGACTAAATGTAATCTTTTGGCCTATAAGTGTCATTAATAAAATAAATTTTTAGCATATGAAACGAAATTTTTGTTAAATTTTTCCTCGTCAACGTTTCTTAGCACATTTAACAAATCTGTAATCATCGCCAAACGTAATGCCAACATTAAAAGCTACCATACTCTTTGTTATTCAGTTACTAATAAAAAAAAATTGTGTAGACATTGCTGCATGAGTCATTACTCAAGTTGTCGTGTGTTGATAAACATGCGGTGATGAAAGTAAAATATATTAAATAATGATTGGCCAGGTTGGCGTCAGCGATATAAAATATTAGTAAGTGTAAAATCAATGAAGTTTCTCTGTAAAATGTTTCAGTTTTGAGACCAAGCAGATATGCAGCTACAGTACAAAGTCCGAGATCCGGAGTCCGATATTTGAAATTATCCACAATCCTGATGTTAAAAACCGCCAACAACTTTTTTTTAATGCTTTACACATGCGTATTTGATTCCCCCCCCCATAAATAAAACATGTGGAGAGTCTCAATTCTTAATTTCCCTTTGGCACTAAACAAATACCTCGTTATTTAAGAAACAATAATTTAGCATAAATTTGTGTGATGAATAATTTGGCTCCCTAGCTGCATATTTGCTTGACATACATGACAAACCGAAACATTCTAGATAGAAACATCGTTGATTTTACACCTACTAATATTTTGTATCTCTGACACCAACTTGGTGAATTATTATATTTTGCTTTCATCGCCGCATGTTTTTTAATACATGACAATTTGAATAATGACTCTTGCAGCGATGTCGAAAAATTTTTAGTATTAATAATTTAATAAATAAAGAGTGTGGTAATCTTTTATGTTGATGTTCCGCTTGGCAATGAATTCAGATTTAAAATTACCTATTATGTATAGGAATATGATCCTAAGCATATAGCCTTAAATATTAGAAAACGCAAAAAAATATGCTAAGAAAATGCACTAAGAAATACTGACGATTGAAAATTTAACAAAAATTTCTTTCCATGTGCTAAAAATAGATTTTGTTAATGATACTCATAGGATAAAAGATAAGATTACATTTAGTGCTATTTGAATTAAGAATAACTGATTTGTTTTTCACATAAACCCAGAACCGGCTCGAGAGCTCGTATGGCGACACTGGCGGGGCAGAATTTAAGGAAGATAAGTTTTTTGGAATTTAGAGAAGCACCGAGCAACAAAATTAAGGGATGAAAATATTTTTGAAATTTAGGAAAAGCAATGAGAGTGTAAATGTTAGCACAAAAAAGCAACTTAAACAACTTACATTATAAGAAATGTTTAATAAAGTCAACAAATAAACATTAAGCTTTTTTAAAAAGTTTTATTACCCTTTAGATCATAAATGCTTCACTATTTCATAAATCAGGATTTCATATTCTAAATTTTATAATTTCTACATTGCCATCTTAAGAGTTTTAAACTGATGATCTAATATCAGGGAAAATTGTAAATCTGGAATCGGCAAAGTCCTGACGAATCTAGATCTCAGACTTTTTACTGTACAAAGCCAAATTATTGAGCACAAATTTTTTTTTCTAAAATTATTGTTTTGTTAATAATGAGGTATTTTATTTAATGCTGAAGTGAAATTAAGAATCCGACTCTTTACATAATTTATTATGAGCGGATTAAAAAAAAATCAAATGTGCATGCGTAAAGCATACAACAAGAAAAAAATTTTCCTTACTAAAAAGGGGGTTGTTGATGGCTTTAAGGTCTGGATATTGGATGTCTGGATCACTCACATTGTACTGTATGTATCGTTCCCCCCCCCCAGGTTGACTCAGGCGAATGCCTGGGAAGTACTGGTTAGGATCTGTACCTAGGCAGTCTCAACCACGGGGGCATAACAAAAGACTATAAAAGGCCTGAGGGCTCTCGGGACAGTGTAAGGCTCGGCAGGGACCGTACTGGTACTGCCTTGTCTGCCCTTGCTCTGTGGGATCGTTACATGGAGATTGTTCCAAGGGCGGGGCGGTGGTATTAATCCTGTTTGGCACCCTCGAGGTTGCATTAGGTCAGGAGCCGTCTCGCTCCAACAGCGTTGTATGTATCATTTGGCAATAAATTTTAAACCTAGTAGACAGATTGTGCATTAGTGCTTCCAGTTGACATCAAATATTTTACAGACTGTCTACCATAAGAAAAGCTCTCGCCAGTTAGTCTGCAGCTGTCTATTGCCGTAGAAACGAGCTTTGACCTATTTTCTGAAGGGGTGTCTTGAAGATTTACTTTTCAGTTTGCCATCTTGGCACATTTAAAAATGAAATGGCAACCATTGGTTCACCCCTATCTGAAATACATTAGTCCTGTTGCTATAGTGACCGCCACCTGCCATACACTATGGTGGGAACTGTTCTTCTCGTAGATAGACTGATTGAAAATTGCATACTGTCAGGAAGCTAAACTATAATGATCTGTTCAAAGCTAGTTCTATAATTCTGTTCTTAACTAATCATTAAAAACTGCTGTAAAATAGAAAAATATGCAGTGATCCACATTTATTTTTAGACACTTGTATCACTGAAATTTTATTTGCATAGATCTTGTTCTAAGTATTGAAACCTTGATTTAAATTTTTTCGAATTCTTCCCCCCTCCCTCCAGTTTAAGCCTTGCTTGTTGTAAAATAAATATAATAAAAATATTCCTTGTAATAAAGTAATTTATTCAAAAAGTGTTAATTGGTAGTTCTCATAATAATTTATACACCTTAAAGTTTTGTCGAAATGTTTTTGACATTCTGCCGATGAACTCAAATTTGGACGATATTCCAATCCAACACCAAAAAATCTGAGATTCACCCAATAAAAAATCAAACAAAACCCAATAATGAATGGTATAAAACTAGCAGTATATATAAAAATATTAGTTGAATGCATACCAGAGTACATGAAAAGTGTAATTTTAGCTAAAGAATATCGAACAAAATGTTGAATGTTCTTTATTTTTATGTTTTTATTAAATGTAAACTGTTTATTCAAAATATCTGAATATTAATGTGAATTCATTTCAGTACTTTTTGAATAAATTATTTTATTTACCAAAAATGTTTTGAATGATTTTTTTTAAAACAAACAGGTTTTTTTTTTTTTTATGTGATTGATAGTATTTGTGAAAGAAAAATAATTTGTATAATATTTAATAACTGATATTTGCAAATAAAATTGAGCACAGGTGCCCCAAGACAAATGTGAGCCACTGTAAATTCTTTCTAATTATCTGCACTCCCGCTGAAAATTTGCAGACATGTTGGTGGCTTATTTTTTGGGAAGCTAATATGTGAAAGCCAACAGCCCTTTTCAAAATGACAGCATACTAAGAATTCCATACCAGAGCAAACAGTCAGTAAAATTAAAAAAAGCAAAAAAGATTGACAACAAAACAAAATCTCTGAAAACTGGTAGTTTAACCTGGCTTTGCTTCCAGGCGAATGGGCTGCATGAGCAGTTTTGTGGTTTTCTCCGTGTGTAACATAGATGCGAGCCAGTTTCCCTTAAAAAGTCCCTCATCAAAGGCATCTATCCTCTTAAACAGATAGCCGTAGTGTGCTTGACCATAACCACATAAATCAAACCAAGCCTTTTCCCAGAAAGCTTTCATTTTTTTGCACTGTTCCTTCCTTGTATACTGTGATCTATTTTTGCTTAATGTCAGAGAATTTTAAAAACTTGGCATTGTACAGCTTTAGCATTGAGCATTAGCCAAAAGTGATGTGTTATGTGCATACGTGGGTTGACACATACATGCCATTTGGTGATATCCGTTGGTTGCAGCATAATAATTTTGCCATAATACTGCTGTGCCTTGTAAATACTTTTCTGAAATTTTTCGGTGGGGGTGCAGATAATCAGAAAGTACGAAAATATGTATAGCAATAGTTTAATAATTATAAAAAGATAAATGTTCTTCATTTTATGTAATTTTTTACTTTTGATAGAAAATGAGAATAGATATTTTATATACATGCATAAAGGGGAGTATCTCGCATTCATTTTGCCCATGTTTAAACTGATGCGTGTATATTCAGCTTTTCATTTTATTGTTTTTATAGGTTTATCCTGGTTTGATGATTACATCTGGGACAATTCACTATCTTTTAAGTTTATTAAATATTACTGTGCATATTAGGGACATCTGTGTTTTCCTTGCACCAATGATCAGGTATGTTTTAACTTAAAATCTTTATATCTTGCATGTTTTTCAGTTTTGAAGCTTTGTAACCATGCAACTTTTTTTTTGTACTAGATCATTTGTCACCAAATGTTTTTGGGTGATGGCAGGGTTGCCACACCACCTGGAAAACCAGAAAAAGTCGGGGAATTCGAAAATTGACCAAAAAAGTCTGGGAAAAATCAAGGAATTAAAATATTTTGGTCAAAATCTTGAAAAGTCGGGGAATTTCGCACGACAATCTCCCTCAAAAAAGCGAGTTCTGCGCCAGTAAATCAGTTTCCTGTTACGCTGTTAGAAAGTGGAGGAGAAAATTCGCCAAAGGATTTGCCGACGAGAATTTTCCCCTCCACGATATGTACACAAAATTGAAGAACACGTTAAGAAGAAATGTTTTCTTTGACTTTTCGCAGTAATTTAAACTCGGATTTTCATCCATTTTTTTTTTCACTCAAAATAACTACTCCAAGAATGAATTTACTTGAATGAAAAAATATTTTCTTTTCCTTTAAAGTTTAAAGAAATTTAAAATGATATTCGTTTTATGAACTCTTGATAAACGTGACTTTCAAACTTCGACCCTGGCTTTGAGCTTTGGCGACAAATATTTCAGGCATGGCCAGTTGTTTCCCTCTACGTTGGGACGAAGGCATTCCTGTTGCAGAGAAGTTTTCCTTCTTAATGATACATATTCTTTGTATAAAACAAAATCGATTTAATCCTAGTATACGGTGCACACGGGATTTGGCGACATTATGATGAGCACTAAACGGGTCATTTTGGTGTTGGCGATAATTTTCAAAATTGTGCCAAGGCGGCAGTGTAAACTAGAATTTTAATAAGTGCTTTATTTGTCGTTTTGCAGCAAAATATATATAAAAAAAAATAGTAAGCAGTCTTAAAGGCTAACCATTTAATATAACTATATTCGCCAAAATATTGTTGATTATTATAATTCAATTTTTAAGTAATTAACATTATTTTGATGTTATTTGTACCATTTAATGTGGCTTCTTCCTCTAAATTTATTTATTATTATTTAATAATACTTCCAAATTTCAGGTAATTTTCTCTGGCATAATCCTGAAACTAATTCTAGCAGTATGATGACGTACTATTACGAAATTTAATGCACATATTTTTTGCTTATGTATTTTTTGCTAAATAAATATGAAATATCCTGAATTTATTAAAAAATATCATTAAATATACTTCTGTCTTTTGTTTAGCTGCAAAATTTCTGAAAAAAAACAACATTTTTTAATCCACATTGGGCATATCTGGATCTAATCTCAGTCTTCAGTGGAGAAAACAACAATTATAGCTATAATAGTAATTCTTTGGGGATCATATTATATATATATTATATGCATCATGTGTAATTGGCAAATTTTTGTATTTTCAAGTGGTACCATAATTAATTTACCTCTCAGCACAACCTACACCCATTACGCGGTTAGACTGGAATTTTCTTAAAACACACCTGGAAAAGTCGGGGGAATTTCATTCTCCTGTTTGAGTGGCACCCCTGTGATGGGTATTAAAGTTATGGTGCCTAGTATGTTTATTGTTATCTGATATATATATTCTTTTCTTGAAGATTTTAGTTTGGTTATACAGTACAAAGTCCGTAATCCGGACATCCATTATTCGGAATGATCTATAATCCGGACCTCAAAGCCACAAACTTTATGCATGTGCGTAAAGAATATGCATACATTACGCATGTGCACATTGAAAGAAATGTTTAATAAAGTAAACAAATAAATAATCTTTTTTTTGTGTGTGTGAAATTTGATACCCTTTAGATCATAATTGCTCTTTATTTCATAAATTATGGTTTCATGTTTTTAATTGTATAATTTTTGCATGCCATCTTGCCAGATTTAAATTGATGATCTTTACTCCGGAAAAACCCTTAATCCAAAATCAGCGAAGTCCCGACGAGTCTGGATTACAGACTTTGTACTGTACCTGTATTATCGATTCATTACTATGAATTTGTTATTTATGTGTAAATAAAGTTGACATGGTTGTGTAGACATCCAGGAAGTGATCTTCCTTATTAGTGATCTTTTATTCAGTATGCAATTTATTGTTATGTTTAATGTTCTTAAGTGATTTTTGCGTGTTTATATGTAGTACAAGACATAGTTCTGTTGTTTGTTTCTTGTCAATATTTTTTTTTTCGAATTTTTATAATTAAATGCATGCTGACATACTATTCCAGAATATTTTGCAGTTATATTCTTTCTATAATTTTTATATGGGTTATTGCCGTGTATATGTTCAGTTGACCATGCATACTACTCAGAATGAGAAGTAAATTTTGAATAGTAATAAATAATGAAGAGTAATAATAATTAAATAATGAAGAGTAAATTTTGTATGAACGAAAAGAATTTAGGAAAAGGATGCAATAGAAGAGTGCAGATATGCAGCCAGTGGAGCTAGAGGAGGAGCATAGAAAGGGACCATATGTATAACTATTTTCGAAGAAAGTAATAAATTTATTGTATTCAAAATTATGCGTTATATTTTTCTATGGCAACTATAATCTGTTTGTTAAAAATGCTTATTTGGAGGATGAAGGTTTGTACTTCTTTCTATTAATCAGTAACTGTAGTTTAGTAGTCTAGGCATATACATTGTTTATAGCCATAAACTACAAGGTATTATATTACATTGTAAAGCATGGAGAAGAATACTCAGCACTTAATTTCTAAAATTAGAAGTGCAGGAGGCCTATAGATTGGATTATTTAATTATGGCAAAGCACACGAGGGCTATCTGCCTAAAGGGAGGGATGCCTTTGTGGAGGACTTTCTAAAGGAAACTGGCTCGTATGCACGTTACACATGGGGAAAACCACGAAAACGCCCGTGCAGCCAGCCCATTCATGGGATTCGAACCTCAAAGGAGGCCTATAGAAGACTGTGAGGAACAAAAGAAAAAATAAATCGATAAAATAACTAAAAATTAAAATAATTGAATATTTAAATTTAAAGAAAGGAAGAGAAATGTAATAAATTACTATTAAATTAATTTTAAATGGTTAAATAAAAAATTATCAGAGCTGGTCTTATTTGGGTCTTCGGCTAGAATTACAATTCCACTCAGAAGCTACAAAGGTAAGGTGGAAAGATCTCGGCTTGACAATGAAAAACTGCGACTCTCAGTTTAAAAATTATTTTATTTTTCTACATAATCTCCGTTGATTTCAGCACACTTGGTCCAGCATTTCTTCCAACATCAGTATTCCATCCCGGAAGTGAGAATCTGGAAGGTTTTGAAAATATTCATCTACGACCCTCTCATTTTCTTCATTGGATATGAAGTGCTTCCCAGCAAACAAATTTCTGTAAGTTTGGGAACAGATGGAAGTCTGAGGGTCCCAAATCAGCAGAACGGAGGGATAGCCGAGCAAATCGTACTCCACATTCAGCAGTTTTTCTATCGTTAATGTACCCTTGTGCACAGGTGCACTGTCCTGGCGGAAGATGATTTTTTTCTTCTTGAAGCCAGGCCTTTTCTCGCGAATTTCGGCATCCATCTGGTCAAGAAGGTTAGAGTAATATTCACCTGTAATTGTTCTGCCCTTTGCAAGGTAATCAATTAAAAAGTTACCTTTTGCATCCCAAAATACACTGGCCATGACCTTTCACGCAATGTGATCGACTTTGCTTTCTTTGGTGTCGAACCACTGGCTTCCACCCTTTGCTTGGACTACTGTTTCATTTCTGACATTAACAGGGATCCTTTTCACATCCAAAAATGCACTGACCATGACTTTTCTAGAGATGTGATCGACTTTGCTTGCTTTGGCACCAAACCACCGGCTTCCATTACTATTTGGACTGCTGTTTCATTTCTGGTGTGTAGTGGTGGATCCATGCCTCATCCATGGTGACAAATCACCACACAAAATTAGTCGGATCCCTACTGAATTATCCAAAGATTGCTGCAAAAATTGTTTGCGCATTTGCTTTTGATCGGCATTCAGCAAGTGCAGCACCCATCTTGTGCAGAGCTTTTGCATTCCTAATTCTTTGTGCAAGATGTTTCGCACCCTTTCTTCCGATATCCACATAGCTTCAGCTATCTCATTCACATGTCGTCCAACATGATATCATGCACTTTTTGTATGGTTTCCAGTGTGGTTGCAGTTTTTGGCTGTTCTCCACGTGAGTCATCTTCGAGGGATGTGCAACCACATTTTTAGTTCAACTGCCCACTTTTTAATGATTGACTTGGAAGGAGCAAAGTCCCTGTAAACTTCTGTCAACTGTGGATGAATTTCCTTAGGGGCTAATCCTTCCAAAACAAGTAATTTTATAACTGCACAGCATTCAAGTTTATCCTTTTTAACAAATAATATACAAGACATCTACTGCTAAAATTTGGGTAAACAAACTACTTGAGAGAACAAGTTGAAACTGGTCATATGAACTAATGACACAGTCACCCAGGCAGAAAAATAAAATTTTGCTGATTGGAGCGCTATCTCTGGATCAAGCCGAGAACCTTTCACCTTACCCTCATAAGAAGTAGCTCAACCGATCTCCATCTTGCGTATGATGCACTATTTCAAGGGATGCCAGATATAAAAGCCATTCCTTTTTTGCAGCATATCAATGAAAAAAAGATAAAACAAGTAAAGCGCCACTAAGGGAAATATTGACAATTCTAGAAACAATATGAGGATATGGAAGGAAATTTTAATGTAAAAAAAGGTAGCTTTAAAAATAAAGGGGAAAGAGTTCGAGACTTTCTGATTGCGATGCCCTGTCAATATTAGTCTAACAGTCAAGAAGAAATTTTTCCTGAATATGATCAAATGACGTGAGAATAAACGTAATACTTCTCCATCGAAGTGGCAGCAATTGTCTCCCCGTTTGGTTACATCATTCAGAAAGTCTGCAGTAGAAAGTAACTAGCGTGGATCGTGCACGACCAGGGTATCACTTTTAGTACTTTCAGGAGCACAAAATTTACCTGCTCTCATAAATTCATTGCGCATCCTGGAGGGTAACCCTTTGATATATGATTAGGGGCTTTTCTGCCCTTAAAAGTCTCAAACTTTGTGCAAGTTTTGAGTGTGAGGGAAAAACACTTCTGAATTCAGAAGTTAGAATCGACTTTTAAGGCATTTTTACTATTAAAAAATTATCTGCTAAAATTGCAGTTAACTTGCATAAAAAGAGTGTCAAAGCCCTTCTATTTAGGGCTCCAGGTGCAATTTAAGCTCTGAGGAACTCTATTAAGAAAACAGAATCATGAAATCAATTCAAGGGAAGTTCTGTTTGGTGGAATCATTTGCTTCTGAGCTTCATATTAGTAACTGAGGAATTACGGATGCTACATTCAAGTCTTTTTATCTCGTAATACTTTTGTGTTGGTTTGAATTTTTTGGCCTGTTGTACTAATTTTATACCATTGTAGAGACAGTACATAAATTCTTCTGCTTATTAATGTGTTTATTATATAGACTTGAACCCTGTAGTGTTTGATGACTTTCATCTGTTGAGCTTAAGCTCTGTGCTGAATGTTGCATGCCTCCGACCTGGGCTTTTGTTAGGGCTTTTGCCCCCTATTGCAATCACTGCAGGCCATAATTCTGCTGCTATAGATGCCTGTGTAAATTCAAAAAGATCTTCCCATTCCTAAATTCTGCCATCTAATACCTCTAAATTCTAAAAATTTTGCTGCCTCTAAATTCTGCCCATGTCGAGCGTGCTAATGTTACACCAAGAAGGCATGCAAAAAGGATGGAAAAAATACCTTATATACTTCCCCTTTTAAAGAGCGACTGGGGTTTAGGGGACCCAATCGCTAATTCCTGGTGGTGAAGAATCATCAGCCACCAACTTTTAGTTCAGGCGCCACTGTAGAGTCATTAGGATTTTTGAAGTAGGGAAACATGAAGAATGAGCAATGTCTTCGATGGTACTCCAACATGGACCTCTGGAATATGTGTCATTTGTGCTACCGTTACACCACGAAGGCATGCAGAAAGGAGAGTGGAAATGCCTTATATTTAATGTATGAACTTAATTTGCATTGTAAGCTAAATAAATTAGTCAGATGTGAGACTGTTGGTTAAAACACAGATGCTATAGTAAGGTTTAAACCAGTAGTCTCAAAAGTGTAGTCTCCAAAGCAATTTAAATGGCCTTTGAATAAATTTTTTGTAAATTATTTCGCATTATTATCATAAGAATTTAAAGGAAGAGTTGAAGATATAAATGATTTCGAGTCCTATTTTTACTGCCAAGAATGAATGTGAGTAATGCCTCTTAACAAACTTTTCAGGTATGAAAAGTTTTCAACGTCAGATCAACTTTCATTTTCGTGAATGGGACTTTTAAAATAACTCCAAAAATCAAGCCACATACTTACATCACCAAAACATTTGTTTTTTTATAAGTTTCAGCATCTTAACAGTATTTCTTGCGCAGATAGCGAATGAATCATTAACCTCATTAGGTTTGAACTCATAATAAAATCGTTATTTCCTGAAAGCTTTTTTAATCATTTAGAAGTCCCACACTTCCATATTATTATCTTAATAATTCTGTGAAGTTTAATTTCTAATTCAAGTTCTTCTTTACTTAATAGATTTTCAATAACTGTTCAAGTAGTTCATCCAACGATTCTGAAACTGATAGAGGATCTTTTATAGCATTTTCATTTTTTTTTAACAGTTTAGTTGTTGAAGAACATATTGTTATTCTTTACTTTGTATGATATACTAATTCAAGCTCCATAGAACAAAAAATAATAATAATAATTCTCACTTACCCTCAAAATGAAAGCTTGGTGCGTCTTACTTCGTGCCCAACGTTTGTGGCAACAGAATGTTTTATTCTTTTAGAGCTTCTCGTTGTGGGTTGGCTTAACAGTTGTAATCCACATGAGCCATACATGAAGCTTGCATTCATGCATACCCCCCCCCCAAAAATTGAGATAAGCAATTTTTCTCATTGCAGGCTGGCAACTTCCTTTTTTTCAAATCAAACATAAATAAAACATTCTCAGTACAGAGTTCCATCTGCATAAAATTCTCTGCAGCAGATTATGTGCATTGGTCTTTGTTTTTGCCAAAATTGAAAATCTCACTTAGAATGCCTTGATACATATTGATACTTTTTGTTTTTTGCTTATTATAATTTTTTTAAAGAAAATTCATTGCAAATTTTAAAGTGTCAGATTGTATTGTGATAAATTTAAATCAGTCTAAGAAAGTGCTTTATCTATAAGAAATTAAAATTCACATGAAGAATTAAAAAATTATTCATTAAAATTCACATTCTATAAGAAATTAAAACTCATAAACTAATCAAATAGCTATGCAAACGTGTATAATTTTAAGAATTAGACACTTTTGCAGATATGATCATTTATGTTCCATTAGATATACTTTTTGTAAAAAGTGGTGTAATTTTAGGAATAAGAGGTAAATATTTTGTAAAATATCTTCAGTTGTTGTTAAATTATATCTTTCTACCACGCAGTGGATTAACAGCATTGTCAACATATTTCTTAACAAAGGAGTTATGGTCTGTTGGAGCTGGCCTGTTTTCTGCCTGTTTTATTTGTATTGGTAAGCTTTATTTTTTATTGACATTATTTTAATATGCAGAGTAATAATAAATTGGTTCTTTTATTTTCACTTACATCATTCTTTGTTTTTACATGCTCAATTTTGTATTTTTTTAGTGCCTGGCTATATTAGCCGTTCGGTTGCAGGAAGCTATGACAATGAAGGTATTGCCATATTTGCTTTGATGTGTACATACTACTTGTGGGTACGTATTTTCTAATGTTGAGCTTTCTATTATGTTTTTGTTTGTTAAATGATTTAAACCACTTTGTTAAGGCTATCTTAAAATGAGTTTTTTGGGGGGGGAGGGGAAAGCAGCATTTTTGAGTTTAACATGACAGATTTTTCTCATGGAAGATTTGCATTCCTTTCTTGCTTACTCTCTTTATAAGTAAAAATCAAAGTTCCAGAATTTCGCAGATTCCAGATTTTAGTACATCAATTTAATTCTGTAAGGTGACATGTAAAAATTATCAAACTGTAAATAAGAAATAGTTGTTTGTGAAATAATTAAACATTTATGACTGTGAAGGAATGAAAAATTACAGAAACTTAATATTTGTTTTATTAAATATTACGAGGGTTGGAACTTTAATAGTGGCAACTATTTATTTACAAGGAATACAAAAGTGATTCATGTCACCATGTTTTACAGTCCTTCAGTATAGTCGCCAGCATTGTATACAACCCGTTTCCAACGATGTGGAAGTCGCAGAATACCTGTAGCAGCGCCTGTTTTGTTGATAGTTTGAATGGACCGGTCTACTGCCGCAAGAATCTCAGGAACAGTTTGGAAGCGAGTCCCACGAAGTGGTTCCTTCATCTTAGGAATTAAGTCATAGTCACAAGGGCTTAGATCTGGAGAGTGTGGTGGATGGTAAAGCACTTCCCAGCCCCATCGCTTGAACAAATCAGTCACAGCTTGCACAGTATGCGGCTGAGCATTGTCATGCAAAATGAGAGGTGCGTTCTGCAGAAAGTGTCGCCATTTTTTCCCTCAAAGCTGGTCGGAGATTGTGCTCCAAAAATGAGCAGTAATACTGCGCAGTGACGGTCTGCTGTGGGGGAACGGTATGCGTTAGGATGACACCATCACAGTTGTACACGAGAATCACCATAACTTTCACATTGCTGGGGTTCTGACGAAATTTCGAACATCGTGGTGACCCGTGATGACGCCATTCGTTTGATTATCATTTCAGTTCTGCCTGGTACAATCGGGCCCAAGTCTCATCCAGCGTAATGATACGCCATAAAAAAGCATCTCCTTCGTGCTCATAGCACTCCAGGTGGATTCGGGCAGCATCGTATCGTAGCCATTTCTGCATTTCCGTCAATTGATGTGGAACCCATCGTGAAGCAATTTTTCTCATGGACAGGCATTCCTTCATAATGTGCAGCACAGTCGTATGCGCTAATCCTGTTTGTCCGGCCAGCTGACGAATCGTTTGTCGGCGATCACTGTCCATTAGTGCGGCAACAGCTTGCACGTCTGCATCACTGACACTCGGACGACCTGGCCGCAGCATGTCTGCCACGTTTTGGCGTCCTTCATTGAATGCTTTCACCCATCTTGCTACGGTTCTGTAAGGCAATGCAGATTCCCCGCAAGCCTCTTGAAGCCCTTGATAACACTGTCGTGCTGTACGACCTCTGGCACATTAAATTTTTATCCAACATCGTTGTTCTTGTTTTGAAAACATCTTGACAACACTTACTTTAGACCGCGAGCTAATACAAGGATCCGTTCTTCGCGTCACTCCGCATGCGCGTGACATAGGCAGAACGAGTCTTTTTGCTGAGAGGTAAGGTAGGTGTGTAGTTCACGTGTGGTATACGCGATATTCTTTGGTTTTGTTGTGTAGCGTTTTTTCAGCTGCGTTGCCACTATTAAAGTTCCAACCCTCGTACTTTCTATACAAGTTGTTTTTTGTGCTAATAGTTTTTCTTTAATTTTATAGATAGCCTTAAGATTTTGTTCATTTACGAAGTTCTATTGTTCAAGTCCTATAATTGTCATGCCAACCATTAAATACATTTTCAGACATGTGCTCCTATGATCTTGCACAGCACAATTTATTGTAAAATATTTCAAATATTCTTGCGCAATCTTACCAGTGCTCAGAAAAATTTAACATTTTAAAAGAACTACCTTATATCTGAATTTTAGTGCACACAGTACTCTAATATGTATTGAGTGGATAATGAATGTACAGTCTGGAGGAAAGAATAAAATGGAGATGTTATCTTTCAAGTCAAATACGAGCCAAACAGTTGTAAATCAGCCGATCTGGATAATTTTTGCATAATCTTGCCAAACCTTGGGTATGAAATGGCATTCAAACCATTCGTTAATGTTTGTGCTATGCATACTTTTTAAATTTAGATGATGAGGGAAATATTTACTGCCGTACTAAATCTTTACTTACTTTTAATCTTTACTTAGCGTGTATATATATATATATATATTTTTTTTTTAAAGTAAAAGAAAGATTACGCTTGGGCATTTCTGCAGCATCCACAGATGCCAGAATCATTAGTCTCACTTTGAAATCCTTGAAACTAGTCTGGTACTTTTTTTGCAGAGATTGCCAAAGTATTTCAGTTCATAAATTGCCAGAAGATGCCTGTTTCATCTTGTTAGAAATGTGTTTCGGAGAAAACATTTCACAACCATTTAAGGGCCAAAGTGTGGTTTGTGGCTAAGAATACAGCATCAATATATTGCCATTAGCCAGAATGTGATGTGAACCTGGAAAAAATTCAGTCATTTGGCTTTGAACCTGTGTAGAATTACCAGTATTCTATGGCTTTATTGACTTCTTTTGAGGCAGGAGGAAAAGAACAACAAATATGAAATGCCATAAAATTACCAGATGTCAGAAATTTTTCCCAGGGTTTTTAAGAATTAGTATAATATTAATATAAAATAATATTCTTATGTATTAATATAAAAATGATAAATGAAAAAACTATGAACCATTAATTTAAAAATTTTTTTTTACATTTGAATTTAAAAGATTTTTGTAAGAGTAACAGGTGAAAAATATAATCGAATGTCAACAATATTTTGGTCTTTTTTTATCTGTTTAATTTAGGCACAATTCTGTTATCAGGACCATATAAAACTGCAGCAAAAATGCCAGATCTAGCTGCCTGTGTTAGTTAATATTTTTCTAAATGTGTGTGAATTTGGATTGCATGTAAATTTAAATAGTTCTACATTTTCAAGTTGCTATTGAAATACTGATTTAATTTTTTAATTCTTTGATAACGCTATGGATCTAATAATTCAGGTCTTGCCCAAGGATGAAAAGTCTGCAGTAGAATTTTTTCAATGAAAAGGCATCATTCGTGATAGAAAATCATGCTTTATCAATAACTCAACAACAAAATGTTGCAGTAGAGAATCCTGTAATGAGAAAAAAGGATTAAGAGCACAAAATTAGTTATGATCGAAAATCTCTTCCCTGCCTTTCAGCAGGAGGTTCATCTATTTTTGGGGTCAGGAGATGTGTATTAATTGTGAACTACATTTCAAGATAAACACAATACGACTGTAGACTGAAATAGTTATATGTGGGAGGTGCATGCCTGAGCTTTTAATTGCTCAGCTTTGTTGAAAATCGACGGATGTGACAAGACTGTTGAAGTAAATAAAAGCTTTTTCACTCAAAGAAAGAAATCATATTCTTCTGCCACATTGGTTTTTTGTTGGATTATGCAGGGAATCAAATGGATATTTTTCAGTCAGTGTTCCAAATCAGTCGGAAAATAAAACTGTATTTGATGTCATTAAGCCAAATATCACAGAAGGAAGCATTTTTTTGGGTCTGTGAAAACCATGTAAGTCAGATGAATTTCGAGATGCCGACTTTGAGCATTTTATTGTTAACCACAAGTATGAAAGCCCATGGACCCATCGTGGTCCCAAAAGTGGGTGTCATACACAAATGATAGAGCGGTTGTGGGGCAGTGCTACATGATGTGATAAATGTATCAAGGTAAGGTAAGGTAAATTTGGCTGTCCTGCTTCATGAACTTAATCACATTACAGGTTCACTCCCCCTTGGCACTGCTCAACAGCACCTCAATTTTTATTTTGTCTGAATTTATATGGAGATGTATACAAAAATAGGTACTTTTTCATTTTGTCAGCATCAGCGATAAGTTGCCAATAATGGTACAACTGATGCCAAACGGAATATCCCCGCTGGTAACCTTTTACGCCTCATTTTCAAAACAAGTCGCAGCCATTTCTTATCAGATTGAGTTTTTTTCAATAATGGCATAAAATTACATAGAATTTTTACCAGATAGCTCAATTTTATGCTTTAAGACTATTCGTGGTAATTAAGTCAATTAGGAAGCAATCACACCACTCACCCAAAGGTGAAAATATAGTAAAGGCAAAGTCAAAGGTTAAATTCATCAATTCTAATGGTATGCACCAGCGAAGTAAATACATTTACATAATTTCTAACGGATTTTCTATAACGGATTTACATAATTTCTGAGTAAGCTATTCGTACGAATTGAAATAATTCTTGCATTTAAATTTGCATTCCAAACTAAGATTTAACTTGAAATTAATGTAGATAATTACTGAGAGAATTAGGTTTTTGTAGCATAGTTTACGTGAGATGAGATTTCTTGGGGTCACGTGATACAAATTGGTGCATCGGGATGTTGAACCGTGAAAGCGTAGTAAATTCTTAATGTCTTTTTACAAATTTATTGTCTTTATTTATTGGCTTTTTACAAAATTTTAAACGATATTAAAATGTTTATGCCTTCTAAATAAAAAATTCTTAGAACTAACGTTTGTTAAACATTTCTTATATGTATACTGTATGTTGTCGCCAATAAAGTGTGCTTGGCGAGATTTGTTCCGGCAAAACGGAAAAGTACCGATAAAAAATATGAAAGCAAACTTCTAATTTTAATTGGCTGTAACCTCTTTTATTTTTCATTTAATTTGTGGACTTATCTCTCTCTCAGTCTTAAAAATAGCGCTATAAATCTAAACTGCGTCATTCAAATTAATCATCAATTTTGAAATTAATCTTTCATCTAAATTAAAATAATGTACTTACATAGTTATTACAAGTAAAAGCTTAAGAATTCTAGATATGCAAAAATTCTGGATAATTGAACATATAAAAAAGTGCAGTTCATGGTAGAAAAGCCAAATAAATTAAGAAATTTTCGATCAAAAATTATCAGAAGAGTCATTTTGTTTGTTATTGACTTTAATATCAAATGCATATATTTAAATCATGAGATATTGAAAGAAATAAGTGCATTTTAGACATAAATGCTAAAGTAAGACGTCATATTCGATTATGAAACTCCATCAGCCATGAAAATTGGCAGAGACCTAGCCAAACTTAGTTGCCAGATAATCTGGTAGAAATTTGAAGGAACAGATCACTCTTTATTTAGCTAATTAACATATACAAGTTATGGGCATAAAATATAAAAAACTGTAATCGCTTATTACAATTTATTCCATTGCACAGCCATTTTTTATCCATTTAAGTCACACTTTTCTTGATGCCAGGATCCCATAAAGTTGAAAATAGTCTATCGCAGGCCATTCCGTTGAAGACGAGTTCCAGATTTTAATATTTTTTCAAAATGCTGTTAAAAGACAGATAAATAGCAGTTAATTTATCTTATTTTATGCAAAATTTAAAACAGCTTGTTGAGATGTTTATCCAGTATTGATGCTAAATAACACTGTTTGGCGACAATTTTTATTTAATTTGATTTGTAGACTTATTTATGATTAATAATAGAGTTAAAATAATATATATATATATATATTTGCTTAATTTTATGTTTAGAAAAGTTTCTAAAATTTGAAAATATTTTGCTCAATTAAGTGTCGAATAGTCAGGCTTTTACTATATTATGCTTCCTTCCTAGCATTAGGGCTATTATAATTATTTTTTGCTGTTGATGGTTTGACGATTCTTTACAGTTCCAATAACAGAATTGTATCATAATTTATGGAAAAGTGGAAAAATTGTCATACCATTATTTTCTCAAAGCGTTATTTATATTTTTAATGGCCAACTGCTTGAGTATAGCGTAAACAGTGCCTGTTTATTGGAGTAAAACTTGTCGTTTTTGTAAAATGAATCTGTGCTTAAATTATGAATTCTTCGCTCCAACTTGCTAGAGATTTCTAATAGTTAAATTTGATATGGATTAAATATCTCCTATTTGAAGATTTTAAAATTAGAGTGATGATTTTTTCTTTTATTGAAATAAATCTTACTAGCTTCAAAATTTTCTAATTTTATGCTAATTTTATTAATTTAATTTTGCTTGCATAAAAAAATCTAATTTTATATGTTTAAAAAAATTAAAGGTGTAATTAAATGTGTAAGTATGATCAGCTGGTATAATAATTGGCAGTTTGGTCTAATTTTTCGAAGTAATAAATTTAATAAAAGTATGAACTCCATTTCACTGTGCAGGGTAACTATTTCGTTATGCAATATTTATGAATTGTGATTGCATTGCACATTATTTTAAACTTTTTATGGATATCTGACAAGTATCTGCTTCTTATACAAATGTTTTCTTTGCATTAGCTGTTCACAAGGAATCAAATATGTAATGCATATTTTAAAATTCTGTAATTTGTTTTCTTAGAATAAAAATATGATGGAAAAATAATATTAAAATGGATTCAGTAATTTACTTTGGATGAACTACGCATTATAACTTTGTAATTGTTAAAACTAAAGGGAAAACGTTATTACACAATTGTTGTAATACCCATCAGGCTCTATTCTCACCTAACTAAAAAAATTATAAACACTTCTTCATATTTTCTTTAATGTTTATTCCACATGCACATTAAAACTATATTATTAATGAGAGAAATATGTACATTAGTTATGTAATTACATGTTAATTTCATTTTAACTAATGGCTGCCATGAACCTTCTTCTATTGTGACCTCTGTCTTTCACTCAGAAATAAACTTGGCACACCTCAGACTGAGAGCAGGCACTCCTTACGTATTTCATTAGTTAGCATTACCAATATATTACGGCTGTTTTATTGTGTGTCATTTGTATTTGAATTGCTGCATGTAAATTATCAGAATAGCTATGCCACTCATTTATTATAACTTCAATGTATTCATTTATTACAAAAGAATATGTATATATTGCATGGTGTAAAAACCAAAAGATCAAGAAGTATAAAATTCAGCAAGCAGAGGACACCTCAAACCAGTTTCTTCAATTTTTTATTAATGAAAAAGCTAGTCAGATCATTCTAAATTAAAAAAGCTTGTTTGATTTAGTCTGCTGGAAATGCATAATTTAGAAGGGGTTTTTCAGTTAATAGCAGCACTGGACAAAGATCGATCATTGCTGAGGAATTTATGCATTATTTCAGTTCAAATTTGCAAAGATTAATTTGTTTATGTATTCAAAACTACCAGAAAATTATTAGGTTATATTACAAAATCACATGCAGAATGTTCTGCTTATGTGGAGCTATGAAAAATAGATTTGAAGCAGGCAGCAGCAACAACAACAAAAAAAAAGGGGGGTGAAGTTGGTGAAGAAGCCTTTTCTGTTATAAACTGGAGGGAGAGAATTTTTGAGATAAGAGCAGGAAGGAATTGCAAAATGATGAGAGGAAGTTATTATATAACCATGATATTGCATAAAATTTTTTCAGTGAAGTGTCTGGGAAAAAAAGTAAAATTAATTGGTGTATATAATATAGTGGCAAATATATATATATATATATATATATATATAATGTTATATATATATATTTTCTGTGCACACAAATTAATTGAATTTTATACTCAAAGAACAACTGAAGTTGAAAATTTCAAAATGAAACAGGAATATGGATTAGGAACATTTTCCAATTGTTCCAAGAAGCTTTTAGTTTTGCTTTTTCATAATTTTTAAAAGATGCTGCATTTTTTCCATGTTACTTTTGAAAAGCAGATAAGTTTGCAAACCTTCCATTATATATAGAATTTTCGTAAGTTTTCAATCATTTAGCTAGTGATTTAAAGTTTTTTTCAGGAATTTTTAGCATGTTATTTAATTTTTTTATGTATATAACTATATTTTTTAATGAAATCACTTGAAAAACAAAGAATGTTAGAAAAAGAAGTATTTTAAGACTACTTTGACACTGCATGTTACATAATATGTATATATTGTTTGTTTAAATATTTTTTAACTAAATTAATGGATGTTACTTAAATGAAAGAAGAGGAGTGTAGAAATTTTTCTAAGAATCTAGGTTCTTTATTAAATTTCAAGTTGTATCTTCTCTTAAAATACAATTTCGAATGCTCTAATATTTTTGAAAAGTTGTGTATCTTAAAAATTTTTCACATTTTCCTAGCCCTTATATTTTTGCTCTTTGTTCTCAAAAAGAGGGACTTATACTGGTTTCTGTAGAATTTCAATGTACTGCAGTTCGATACATGAGTCCTTTTTCCTTTCTAACTCAAGTTCTAAGTACTTCATGACCTGTAGAACCTTCTTTTTCTCTATGCTACTATTATATGCATTGTTTACTGCATCCAGCAATCTCATGAAATGATAAGTATCTTTATTCAGTCCAATCATCTTTCCTTTTCCTATTTTCCTATTTTTGGCTTTGCATGTTTAAAGAATGCAGCAGATTTACTGGTGGAATGCTAAGCTATTGAAGCTGTCTTTTTATCCTTTTGAATAATGCCACTATATTTGCTTGTGTTTGCCAGTATTTGCTTATGTGCTTAGATTATTGATATTTACATCTTCTGTGATAGTATATCCATCTTGCAGATTTTAAGTCATTCATTATCCCTTTCATAGTATTGCAATTTCTATTGACAGGAATGTAGATCTGTTTAGATCAACTGTTCTTTTAGATTGGGCCAATGCTTACATTTACTGATTGCAGGTAAAAGCTGTGAAAACCGGAGCCATATTTTGGTCTGCTGTATCAGCATTATCCTATTTTTATATGGTGAGTAGGTCCATTATCTAATATAATAAAATAAAAATAAAATAATTTTATTGTAAAGGTTATGTATGTGTTGGCATTGTATAATACAAATCACCGATTGTTAGGTTTCGGCTTGGGGAGGCTATGTCTTCATTATCAACCTCATTCCTCTGCATGTCTTTATGCTGCTGTTAATGGGAAGATTCTCTGTTAAAATATATGTTGGTAAGTGCTGTTATATTGTTAATGAAAAATTCTTCTAATGTGCTAATTTCTGTTTTTAAAATTTTTAGCCACCTGGAATAACTCTAACTAACAGCCAAGAGTTTTCAGGATAATTCCTGGTCTTTTTTTTTTTTTTTTTTTTAAATCATTCTGAAATTAACTCACCAAAATTGCAAAAAATCAGACTGCGAGTCTTATTTTTCAGTGTTTTATGCAATTATTTACACTGTAATTCCCCCAGGCCTGTTGGTTAAAATTTTGAAAAATAACATTTTCTGTGATTTTTGCAAAGATCTGTGTCATTTGTGAAATTTTAATTTTCTTTTACCTTTGTTTTAACTACAGATTATTACAGTTATTAAAAAGGAAGTGTAAGATTTTACTGCTGTATAGCAAATTGTGCCACATGTTATGAGTTAGTTAATTTGTGGTCCGTGGCATAATTCTTGATCAGTGCTGCATTTACTTTATCAATTATTTATTACATTGCAACCTATTTTAAATTTACTTGAATCCAAATCCTGGAAGGTCCTTGAATTTCACAAATCTCTCAATATCAAAATAATGATTATTGCAGGGGGAAAAACTTTTATTTGTAAGTTTTTAATTAAATTCAAAGTCTGCTTAAGCCAAAAAAAAAAAAAAAAAAAAAAAGTAGAATACAGTTTTTAAAAATACACAAAGAAGAATTCTGATAATCTGTGATGATTAATGCGGGAATACCGTGATCCACATTCATTTTTTTAGTGAAAACAAAATTACAATATCTAGAAAATTCAGCTTTGCTATTTTTTCTTCATATATATTAAACATTTTAAACAAAAATATATTATTATGTATCTGATATATGTTACAGAAGAAGGGAATTTTTTAATGTTGAAGTTATTTAGCATTTTTGTACATGCATCAGCATTATCTTTTTTATTATATAAAAAGTGTTTATTATATAAATTTTATTATATAAAGTGTATCATTATATCAAACAAATTTTTTGTTTGATATAAATCATTACTCTAAGGTTGCTTTTTAAATTTAATTTTGAATGTATGTGGTTGACATGTGTTGTAGAGACATTAGGTTAATTGGAAAAGCCGGAGAGATGAAAAAATAGCAACGCCTTCACCAGGAATCGAACCATGGATCTCTGAAATACCGGCTCATTGTGCTGACCACTACTCTATGAAGGCACGCTAGGAAGGGGGGAGAAATACCTTACAGTGTAAAAAATTTATATATCCATAACTTTTCAGACATAATGTTCTAATTTAATGCCCATTATAGCTGGTTTATCTTTGACACAACTAGTAAGCTTGTTTACATCAGTGGTGAATATAACAGTTGTAGATTAACAGTAACAGTTGTAGAGATTTTTCATGTATTAAAAACGCAATTATGGAAATCAGAGACTGAGAAACAGAGAAATAAATCTTCTTTTAATAAATGTAGAATTTCGATTCTGCCTCCTTTTGTAAGTTGCTAGTAATGTTATTTATCCAGTTGTACATGTGTGGAACCTAATGACAAATTTAATATGAGGATTCAGTTTAAGGAAAACAATAATGCTGGGTGTTTTGTAAACAATTTACATAATTGTCTATATTACTGTGAATATAATTTTGGTGGTTTTATGCAATGATATTTTGTATTTTTACAAGCATTTTCTGCTTCTTTAAACCATTTCCCTATTTCTGTATCTCTTTTTCTTTCTGTCACAATTCTCTCTTGTACTACCTCTTTTTTTTTTTTTTTTTTTTTTTTTTTTTTTTTTTTAATGTGTGAATAGTTATATTTAAAGAAATATATATTTGTATTCAGTAAATCCATAGTAAAAATTCAAAGTATCTTTTGGTTAGCTATGATGTGCAAATGGTCTAGATTTATATAGAGAAAAATTTTAGCGAAATGTGGAGAGGCTGCCTATAATCTGTAAAATTCTCTAATCTGCACAGCCATTCATGCCAGTGTGTACAGATCATCAGAATTCTACATTGTTAAAAATTTTTTAATGAAATTTAGTAATTGAAGTGCTTTATTGAAACTCCTGAAGGCTGAGATTTGTTTTGTCAACGTAATTGAATCTCTATCTCAAAAAAGTTTTTCACTGAATTGTTTTGCATCATTCAAAAATCTCTCTATATTTAGAAACAATTGTATCAAATATTAGTAATCGTTACAAAATTATGAATGACCAAAAATATGTGAAGATTTTAAGTTTTTTTAGTCTTAAATCTTCAAGATATGCTGGATTTTGAGGGTTTGAAATTCCCATTCCTACTAAAAATAGTACATTCTGATTATCAGCATCCCCACTGGAAAGACGAATATGTTGGCCACTTTTGGGGAGCAACTGCAAACTTGTTGGTGTCTTAATTTTTCATCAGTCTAATGAGCGAGAGTGAGTCATTTTCAGAATGGCAGTGCAATGAAGAATTCCTCAAAAGAGCAGCCAATCAATAAAATTTAAAAAGCAAAAAACATTGATAATAAAACACTTATCTTTTTCAAGAAACCCTTCTATGATTTTTTTCTTGCTGTTGTTTTCACCATGTACACATCAGTCTGTTTTTACTAAAAAATAAGATCAAAGGGTTTCACAAACTCTGTGCTGCACCCCAGCCAACAATAAAGTGTATAACTGTTGTAAATGAGATACGGCTGTCTTCAAATCGATTTTCAGTCTGTGTTCTGGCCCAGCAGTGGCCAAGTGGTAAAATCACTGAGCACAGGTAGTTGTGTCCAGAGTTTGAATCCCAGTGAACAGGCTGGCTGCATGGATGTTTTCCTGGTTTTTCCTGTGCGTAATGTGTATATGAGCCAGTTTCCTTAGAAAGTCCTCCATAAAAGCATCCCTACCTTAAGATGGCCCTTGAGTGCTTTGCCATAGTCAAATACAGAAAAACCAGTTCTACATTCTAACACTTTGAATGCGTTTTTTTCACATTGCACTCCCATAAAATTTGGTCATTTAAGAAATACAACTTCGTAGATTGTGAATTTTTACATTCTCTGTTACTGGGCAAAATGCCATGTTTTTGCGAAAATTCAGTGCTTTCAGTTTCATAAGTTAGTTGGCAAACTGCAAGCTTCCATTACAGTTTGTTGTGAGAAAAGTAAATATACTCAATATTAAAAAGAAACAGTGTAGAAATACATTAACTGATGGTTGAATTTCAAAAGTGTAAATAAACATATGTTTGATACATTGGGGTATGAAAATAACCTGGGTTGCTGTTTTTGGTGATGTTGGTTGCTGCCTCACTATTTTGTGACACACTGCACTGCCTTATGAATATTTTTTTGAGTTTGTGGGTAATGAGAAAGTATAACATAAACTGTTGTCCTCCAGATTTTTTTTAGAATCTTAGATTGGGCAAACTAACTTTCACAATTACAAGTGCAATCAATCCATGCTCAGTTTATAACATTGAGTTCTGAAGAGCAAGGCCTTAAGAGAAGATTTTATTTTGAGTTATGTGGTGTCAAGAATATTTTATTAGTGAAAAGAATTATTTTTGTCTTTTAACTAAATATAACTTTAAAAAAACAAAAATAATTCTTTTAACTAAATCCACATAATGTAGAAAGTTTTTTTATGAGTATTTTAATATTTAAATTTTGAAAGTTAAATGTGGTTATAGTGTTGCTGTGTTTGTGACATTCAGCCATCTTGGCAACTTTCTGGAAAATTTGGGTTAACATATTTTCGAATCCCTGCAGTAGACTTTTCCAAATTTCCAGAAGCCTATGTAACACTATGTGAATATGGCTCTGAGAACTAAGACAAGTCAATCAGAGAACCAGAAGTTAAAAAGAGCTGCATTACTCTGAATGATTTTGAAAGTATTCAGCATTTCTTGTGCACTTGGGAAATATTGTTTAATATCCGTATTCTTGAGTTATTCACAGCTCTTTATTTTGTTTTGTGCTTGTTATTTATAATAAATTGTCAATTCTTTCTGTTCAGAGTAAATATTCAAAGAGACCTATAGCTTGTGACACTATGAAGGAAACAGCAAGCTTTCAAGGCTCGTACTGGAGCTAGCTTGTAAAGTTTTCTACATATATAACTCCTAATGAATGAGTTGGCTGTCTAGCTGAAAAGTGAGCAAGAAATGGAAACGTATTTAAAAAGATTTTTTTTTTCTTTTTTAATTTGAAATGTTTCATCCAATTTCTGAAGTTAATAGAAGAGATGCTGTTTTAAGAGTAGTGAAAAATTTGATTTCCAACTAATAGTTTTAATGCTTTGTATGCTGAATTTTAATGAGTGAATTTAAAATTATCTTAGTCCTAAGTCTTATTTTTATAGTGAAGACAAAGAAAAGTATTGAACAGTTGTGTAACAACTTAATTCAACTGTCAAAGACAGAGCTGTCTTTACTGCTTGATTAGAGAATAAGATACTCTTGAGTTTGATCCCTGGGTAAACTCATTTTTTTTTTTTTTTCTCTTCAGTGATTTAACACATTAATTTAAACTTTAAAAGACTGGGGTGTTTGGAAAAGTTTTGCTTAAAAGGACGGGTAACCCAAATCCATTTCCACCCCCTTTAGCTGCCATTGTAAAGTGAAACTGTTACTGTTTTGAAACTTTTCCTTAAAGTCGCCTTTGTTAATTCTCAGATAAGAGACTGGGGAATCATACAGAGGAATTTTTTCTCTTTTCCTTAAACTAGGGAAGCATATGATGGTGAGATTTTGTAGCTAAGTAATTGTTGAATAGTAGATTATTGTAACTTTTGACTTTGTGTAATAATGAAAATACGCTTTACAAGCAAATACCTCTTAGGTATGCGAAAAATCGGTACACAGTCTAATCATTTTTTATTTATTTTCAAACTGAATTTAGTTTAGAATTACATGTAATGAATAAAAGTTTTAATTTATACTCGAAAATGATTTTTAACTATTTGTTTCTCGCATAAATCGGCAATTTGCATTCATTTTGTTAAAACATTTTGTAACAGCTTATACTTATATATTCAGAAATTCTCTTGTATT